CCAGTCTGGAAAGTTAACTTTTTGCACGCCGGACAACGATTCAGGGACATGTAACTGTACGCCAATTTTGGAAATGTAAATGCGCAAAAGTTCCAAATACACCTTTTTAGTATAAACCTATTTGGTCCATATCTGTTGAATTTGAACAATTACTAGTCTATGTAAACAAATGTACGCCATTATGTACGCCAAAGTTTGTGTCTGTACACCGGACAAGTCCGGCGTACACTGCACCTTACATTCCAGTCTGGTCTGATGCGTCATATACGCTTAGACATATTTGTTTACAATTAGAACGTCTTACCCCCCGCGAAGCCCGCATACGGATGGGTACGCTCGATGTATTGGCGTTTCCACGCCCTCTCTCCCTAATTCGCCCTGTTCTGTACGGTGTCGTTCACGCTGTTATTGTTTTTTGAAACTTGTAAAAGAAAAGTGCATTAATTAATTTAAAACTTTATTCAGAGCATTTTCCATTTTATTTTATCAATTTTCCGAGTCGGCTTTCCTGAAGAAAACCAAGCAATACAGGAAGCCATTTTGAAATATCTCCTATATAAATTTAACCAGTTACTACGGGGAGAAAGCATTTATGCATATATTGCGTAATTTATGTGCTTTGGGAAAGGAGATTTTTCTCGCTTTTGACTCGTTTTATATATTGGGAGTTACAGGGACGATGGAATGGGTTTTCCAATTTTGTTGGGAGGGAGCTTCATTTAGGCCCGGTTTAGACGCCGTACTTTTCATGAGCCGAACTTAATACAATGAATTAAGCACACGAGAAGCACGGCGTCTAAATCAATTAAACACTGCACTTAATAAGCACGGCTAAATTAATAAGTTCGCCTGGTTCAGGCGTGCTCCACCGCTGAAGCACATGTTGATTTATACTGCCGTGCTTTACATGAGCCGTACGCCCGTACCAAATGCATAAATTATGATAAAATAGAACATTTATAGTACGCGTGCGTTGATTGGTCGAGAAGCGTGTTTCTACACGGGGAATTTCCCGCCTAAACTTACAATCGTAAGCAAAACAATTTTAATGCAAATTAAGAAATTGTTACAGTCAAAATACAGAAACCTTCCCACTTCCGCCTTGTTTTGTATTTCTGTAATTTGTTCTAATTTTTCTGTAGTGATTTAATACCGCTTTATCGGCAAATATCGCGGTAGAATTTTCCTTTCTTTTCTTTATATACGTCAATTTGTAGCAAAGGATACACCTTTCGTTAGATTCTTTGCATAAAAGTTGCGAAATTAGGCTTACAACGATATTTGCTGATAAAGGCAAAAAGGCTTTCTTGCAGTAAATTGATGGAGCAAAGATCGGCATTATTACGCAATAAGAATTTGTAAATATTTAGTTAGTTATATTATGAAATAAATATAAAACATTATTATGTGTAACCCATACAATTATAGAAACAATTGTAGTAGTTTGGGAGAACTCGAATAACGTGGAAAAACCCGCCCTAAGCCTATAATTATATAGGTCTCGTTTTCCTACACATTATATCTAGGCATTATGCTATATGTTTGTATTAATAAGGCTTTTCAAAAAACAGTTGAAATTGTTAATAACCGCAAACCTGTATAGACGCTCAGAAATGCCAAGATTGTATGTGATAACTGATAAACCCTTTTTTCTTATTATGAAATGTCACTCGCCCCAGGTTTCGAAGTAAAGCAGCGCAAATTATTAAGTACGGCTCATGAAAAGCACGCCTGTCTAATTCAAAATTGGAAGTACGCCTATTTTACTCGAGTAAAATATGAATTAAGTTCGGCTCATGAAAAGCACGGCGTCTAAACCGAGCCTTACTGACCTTACGTTCACGTTCACGTTCACTTTCACTTTCACTCTTACTTTTACAAATTTTGACGAACAATGGCGCAACAAATTGTTAAGTTGCGCCCCTCTGCTTGTATGTATATGTAATCTACCTGAATCGCCCATGAGCTTGTATAGGGTACTGGGTAACATTTCCCGCACCATCCATCCATGGAACATTACGCTGCCGGAGTCCATGGAAATGTATAGCAGTGTCTTCGTCCATTTCATTGGAAATATCAAGGACTACAATCCCATGTTGCTTCACAATAATAGTTGGGCCTTGGAATGTTTGATTGATAAGATAATGGAATTTGTCAACACCAGAAACTCTCCGCCGGCTTACGATCATTTTAATATAGCATGGATCTCTAAATGTGCAGTCACAAGCAGCTGGTCTTCCATGGACAGGTTTGCAAGTTATGTACTTGGTAGCAGCTTCGTTAAAACATTCTTGTACTGATGTCTTGGAAGCTATTGCCAGGAAACGCACATAAAGCAGTAATAGAAGCCTCATATCTAGCCAGAAATATAAAAAAACATTTCACTATTGAGGGTCCTAAAATAGGTATGTATAACATTTTATTATATGGCTTTACAAAATTCTCTATTCTGATTGGTTGACAAGCGGTCCGTAAAAACCCATATTTTTGCTTTGCAAACAGAAAAAATTTTGCTTTTAATTTTCCAATTGTGTGTTACTAAAATTTACAGATAAAAATTCAAACAACCAAATTGTTTTTGATTGAGCATGCATGCCTACCATATATTTTTACCCAGTGAGACTGACAATAGCCGATTTAATTCTTAATTCGCGCGAAAAGCATATGCTCACAGGCTCAGTTCAGCCATATCATAAACCGATTATTAACCTCGCTTGTTCGGTCTGTAATGTGAAATATCAGACCTCTGTTTTTTTCATGAACCTTGCTCCTCCGTCGCTCGGTTCGTACTAAAAAACCTCGGTCTGATATTTCACAGTACAGACCTCACGCTCGGTCAATAAGCCGTTAATACATGAGGCGTTTGGGTTTATCAGACGATACCAAATATTAATTGTAAATGGAAATCTCGAGTGCGAGTTTTATACATTTTTGCGCATAGCAGAAGCGAAAAATACAACTATAAGCTAGTCTGAACCAGAGGCGTAGCCAGGGCTGGGGCAAGGGGGCCCGGCCCCCCTGGCAAAATTTTGCCTCCCCCCTGATAAAATGTATTGTATAAAAAAGGGAATCCATGATTATATAGCATCCTTGATTATATAGCTACAATGCAAACATTTTGTAGAATATATGCTTTGCTGCGCATCAGTGTGAAACCTAACATATCTTGTTTGCTTATTTGTGGCACACAGCTTGAAACTGTATTAAATGATGGTTAGATGACGACATTCGCGTCCGTGTTGTATCAGATATACAAACTCTCGCCTTCGGCTCGAGTTTGTATATCTGATACAACACGGCCGCTCATGCTGTAAACATTACTTATCAACCCAAATAATATGCATATAGTGTAATATTCTAAATATTTTGTGAAGTCGACCGACAACTAGCTAACAGTATTTGAATTTCTCGTCTAAAATTAAAACTAGAGGGGAGTAGAGCAGTACGTGTCGAAAGTGTTGTGTCTTTCTGTTGCAATATACAAAACAATAATTTTTACACTATCTACGTTTTGTGATGATCATGTTAAGGCCGGTTTACACGACCAGTGTTTTGGGCACGGCACCCCTAAAATGGGCACCCGTGCCCAAAATTTTAGGCACGGTACCTCTGCCTTTTGGCGTGTAAACGTGACAAAAATCGGCACCGGTGCCGCAAAATTTAAACGTGCCGAGACTTTCTCACGAGGTAGTCTCGGCTCGTCTAGCAAGCGGTGCCGTGCCCAAATTTCGAAAAAAATATAAAATTGTGTTCGACATCGAGCATGCGCAAAACAAATTGTCCTCTTTCTAACATGGCAGCAAGCGGCGAAAAACTGCAACTTGCCAAAATTAAAAAAAACGAAGTTAAAAAACAAATTTAAATAACACAGAATGTGAATGTTGCTCAAGTTGGCTCGGAAATGTTGATACCATTGTTCGTCGCTGAATCTCTAGAGCAGTAACTAGGTCGTAGCAAATGCCACTTGCTTTGATGCGTCCATACTTTGATGCGCCTTTGATGCGTCCATACCTCTCGAATTCGTGGCGGGTGAATACAAAATGGCACAATATTTACGCGAGAAAACAACTCCTTTCGTCCTTAAAGGTCTGTTCATATGGGCAATAGTTATCCCGGTTAACGAGAAAACTTTTCGACTAGACAAATACTTTTGTTCTGTTCACATGGAGAAACGTTATCCCGCTTACCGGGTACAGTTTCCGGCTGTGACATAGCACTGAATACAATTGAATTAAAAACTTGCTGACACGACAGAAAGTTATCCTGCTAAGCGGGAAAGTTGTGTTCATATATACGGGAAAAACATTATCCCGGTCACCGAGATCTGGCTTGTCAACAAGCGAGATCTCGGTACACGGGAAAACTTTTTGTCTTATATGAACGCAATGTAACTTTTCATATTATTTTCATACCAAGGCGAGATCTCGCTTGTCAACTTGTCGAAAAGTTTTCTCGCTAACCAGTATAACTTTTGCCCTTTTTCCCATTGCCCTTAAAGTACTTTTCTAGTACTAAATTGTTTTTTCCCTCGATTTTGGGCTCATATAATACTCTTCTTCGTTCCAATAAATATAAATATATAATTCTATTTCTGTCCGACATATTTATTCTTTAAAATATACCGTCGTAAATGGAAAGTAGAGGCGCCGTTTTCCGATGGGCACGGTGCCTATCATAAAAGTGCGTTTACAAAATGTTGTCGTGTAAACGAGTAAATAGCGAAGTGGCGGTTTTGGCACGGTGCCCATTTTCAGGGGTGCCGTGCCCAAAACGCTTGTCGTGTAAACCGGCCTTATATTTGCTAACTATAGAGGCCGGTTATTCAAAGTTGGATTAGCAGTTTAGCACTAACCCTGGGTTAAAACTTAAGCTAATGTCTGGTTTGTGTATTTCTGCACGTCTGTTTATGTTTAATTGTGTTTTCACACAATTTCGAGTTTTGCAATTTCCAATGATCCCAAATCCCATATGTGAATTGCTATATTTCTCCACCTATTTAGGAATTCTGCAAGCAACGACAGTCAGAACACTCTAACTGTAGTTTTCCACGCGATATTATCTAATAAATTTAAATTAGAGGATGGGACAAAGATTGTAATTCGTGGAGATGAGCCTCTTTTTGCAGGTGGTTGGAATAAAGGTGGTGTACCTGTTACCACAGCTCCGTAAGTATATCGTACAGATTGTTACGTTCACCGCGTAACAAGAAAGACTTAAAAACAGAAGAGTCTTGTGTTTTAAGTTATTTATTAATAAAAGAAAACTAAAAGAACGAAGAATCAGGATAGTTTAAACTTATCTGTCTATTGACAATGACATAGCTTTGCTTTTCAGACTTTGTCCTTTCACACTTTATAATATAATTCCTTTCCTTTAAGTCTTTACGACGACAATAACTCCACAATATCAACTTCTTCTTTAACAACAACAGCAATTATCTCTAAACTTTTATTTATCTCACTAGCTTAAGCTTTCGCTGCTTATATACTGTCCGCAAGGTATTAATAGAACATTACATAATTACTATTTTTAGATATTACGTAAATGATAAATATAGCAAAAGCATGAGTCAGCATAATGACGTAATGTCTTAAATTAAGAGTGTTCATGACGTGACTGACTTCACGTCACAAGATACATTTTCAACATCCAATTTGTGACTCGCATTATTTGGGCACATGCATGCATGGTGTTAAACTGCAACAACTGGAATTAGAAGAATACTGTATAGTGAGGCTGCAATCAAACATTTTAGGACATTGTATTGGGGCATGTGTGGTAAAAATCACAACATCAGAAATTGTACAGAGTAATGACCATATCGCTCAACATTCATTTTATGTCATCATGCGCTCAGCCAAAGATTTTGCGCCTTTTTTTGTTGTAGCTACTTTACTTTAATCTATCTAGGCCTATAAATTTTGGAGCTTCACTTATGCATCACGCGCATTCAATTAAGTGCCGATATTATTTAGTTGGTATATTCATTATACAGAGCTAGGAAGGAGCGAGACAGTGTTGTTTTCAAATATCTAAACATTTCAGAAATGAATACTGAGAAAATCTTTGAGATTCTACGCATTGTACGCAATATATAAATTGATGTTATATGCATTACCGGCATTCAATTAAGTGCCTATCGATATTATTTAGACCGCGTATTCATTATACATTAGACAGATTTAGAAAAGACGACGCGACTTCAAAGACGACATGGATGTCGTCATTTGGCGCTAACTATCGTCAGCTTCTGGTTTGTGACGTCGTCTTGGACGATTTCACGACGCGAAAATACAATTTTTACGTACGTCCTCTCTAGAACGTCACAGATTTATGCTTCTTTTAAAAAAATATGAGAGTATGTATAATAAATATCAGCCTATTTTGTTCCCCATGTATTGTTTAATGATTCGATCTATAGTTAAAGTTTTTTCATTGACAAGGTTGTTTTTCTTGTATTTCGCTAAATTTTGGACGAGTTGATTTTTGACAAATACTTTCGGTCGCCATAACAAATCAACAAAACTGCAAGCATTGTTAATAAACCACTTCAATACCGCTAGTATTCTTCACCAAAACAAACATTTTAGAACAACTGAACCGAAGTTATATTAACAACTGGCAAGGAAACCTTTGGAAGATAGAAGAATAAAAGCACTAAAAAGCAGTAAAAACTCGATCAATTTTATATAGTTGCTTTGTCACAACAGTGCAAAAAGTAGGACAAGTAAAAAATAGCTTTCCAGCGTGAAAAACTATCGTAAACAGTATTAAAGTCTACCAATATAAACACTGATGCCATATTTATACTGAACAGTTGATAAACTTGATTAAGTAGGCTACAAACTAAAGCATTCAGCTCGTAAACAATACTTGCAGCTATTGTATTTATTCCAAATGATGCAACAAAGTTCACTTTTCAAAATACCGAAATATACGTCTTTTTCTAAAAAAAACTTAGTGAATGTTCATACTAATTGATCAGGAAACACTTTGCCAGTATTATATAGCCTTTTGTAGGACATATCTTGACAACTGATAGAAAACAATACAGGAATGAGCAGGTAACAAGAAAACAAAAATTTGTTTTGAAAAAGAAAAACAAGCCGTCCCAGTTTAAACCCGGAAGTGAACGCGAGGTGCATACGTAATTTTCACGTCGTCTTAGACGTCGCGTCGTGTTTTCTAAATCTATCTATTGACTGCATAAGGTGCTACACCACAGAATAGATGGCTACACTCAGTACAAAAAAAAATTTGCACTTATCAGATCAATAAAGCGTAAACAACTATTAAACAGAAGCGGGTGTTTGTATGGCGTTTACGAAGAAAATAACTTGCGAGACTATTAAAAGAAATCAGTTGAGTCCGAGCTCTTTATTTACACAAGAAAGACGAGGAGATAGCCAACGTGTTATCGCCAATCGCTTGGCTCGCCAACAAGCTTCATGTAATAGAAGAAAAAGGCAAGGTGGTAGTCAACGTGTACCGTCACGGACCTTGTCCTTGTTTACTGTATAGTCTGTATAGCACAACGGTGCAAACTCTACCAGATCTTACGATGCAACGATGCAACGATAACTCTACCAGATCTTACGAGAATCAATCTGTACACAGAGCTGTATCAAAGCAGTCAAAACTGGTATAAACACTGCTATAACTGTGAAACTATTGAAATCTAAAGTGACATTGAATACATGCGAAAAGCTGAAAATGACACAACTTGACACTGGGAATAAGTCGAATGTCAATGAGACTTGTTACTGTGAAACATGTCACAATTAGGTTAAAATGCGGAAGCGGATGGAGCGGATCCACGGAACGGATATGGGGTTAAAATACGGAACGGATGGGAATAAAATGCATCCTTTTGATGATGTAACGTCGTAGTGCTTATTATTCATAACATACTTAGGGCGCAATTCCAGTCCTCACACGAAGCTCGCTGCGAGTGCATGCATGAGCACTTTCATCCAATCACAATGCTTAAGAGTTGATTTTTATTAAATGCAAGCACTCGCAGCGAGCTGCGAGGAGCTTCGTGCGAGGACTGGAATTGTGCCTTTATACAGCTATTTCAGCTAAAGTTGTCACTGAGACAATAGTCAAATGTGCAATATGGGCGCTAAGAGGATGGTGAGAATAATCATAGGTTTAAATAATTCTAGCATATCAGTATAGCCTCGTGGGTATGCTTTTAGCGACAGCTGCAAATGCAAATGAAATTTTAGAATATGCAAAATTTGGTTGTTGGTGAAACAATTTAAATTTCGAGTTGTCGCGTGTAGCATCACAATAAATAAATAAATTGTATCAGTTCCACGAGGCACGACGTTTCTGATGTGTTAGACTTGTTTCAAACGTCGCGCTACTCATGTGCCGAACGCATTAGAAACAATAGATAATGAGATGAAATGCCTTTGGTAACTGTTTATTTCGTAGTGTAAGCCATCAGCTTTTATATATTTTTAGTGTCTTTTTCAATTTGAAACTTCACACTATCCTGGGATCCCTAGTTAACGTTTTCTCTGTGAATCGTATACGTATGTTCATGATCTATAGTGCATTATGCCATTATTAAGTGAAATCAGGCTCTCAAGTGATAGCGAAGCATGCATTACGCACAGCAGGTTATGACTATACAGGGTGTATAAAAAAAAACTGAACAGATTTGAAATTGCTCTCAATTTCGCAAAACACCTATTTGTATCTGGTTTTTAGATATATAGCTTCTTTGGGTACTTATAATGTAAAATAATGAAAAAAATTTCTCGAACTCAAATTTTGTGAACCAGGGGGGTGTGTCTTTCCCAACAAACTAAAAATGGCTCGCGCACAAAATTTAAAAGCTGTAATCATATTTTGAGTTAATAGATTGAAAATTTGTCGGGTTTTTAATTACTGTACAAAATTTCAGACAATTTGGTTTAGTTTAAGCCCTTTAACTATTCATTTTGTTCTAAAAAGTCAGCCTTTCGCATGCTTAATTAATGCCTTTACCTAATTTGGATATTGCTGACATATGCAAATTAGGCAAATGCATTAATTAAGCATGCAAATAGCTGATTTTTCGGGAAAATTGTAACTTTGCGTGAATAGTTAAGGGGCTTAAACTAAACAAAATTGTCTGACATTTTGTACAGTAATTAAAAACCCGACAAATTTTCCATCTGTTAACTCAAAATATAATTGCAGCTTTTAAATTTTGTGCGCGAGCCATTTTTAGTTTGTTGGAAAAGACACACCCCCCTGGTTCACAAAATTTGAGTTCGAGAAATTTTTCTCATTATTCTACATTATAAGTACCCAAAGAGGCTATATATATAAAAAACCGTATACAAATAGCTGTTTTGCGAAATTGAATCTGTTCAATTTTAAATCTGTTCAGTTTTTTTTTATACACCCTGTATAATGATACAATCTGCCGATCGCACAAAGCATAAATTCTTCTTGTACTATTAAGAAAATATATATAAAGCGACAAATTAAAGCTAGCTTGAAAATGAAAGCTGTTCATAAAATTTCCCCCCCATTTTTTTATACATCATTGTATTCGGAATAAATAAATAAGCATCCATCATATATTTCAGCACAATTTACTTTGTTTATATAGATATCGTGACAAACAGTTGGTGTTACACGGCGAACTTAAGGTTCCGCTGCGGCTTGCCTCCTTCGGATGGGGGTACAAATATGTATTAATGAATAAGAAGAATAAACCTAGCTATGAAGTGCTAGTTGAATTCAAGTGGTGGGCGTCGGGCATCATGAACAGATGTCTTGTTATTGGAAAAGATTATACTGCAGAAAATGGTAAGTTAACTGACTAATCAATGATACCAAACAATAACATATGCCAATAGTCTAGGACCTGTATATGAGTTTGTATGCATTTCATTTAGGACAGGTAATCTCAACTGTTTTGGGGTAAAATGACCATGGTGGTCAACATGGTATATGTGCCAAAACCTGAATCCGGGACGAAAGTTCTGAAAATGACCCCGCCCTGAAACGGCAGTGTCGACATAGCTCTAACTTCCGAAAAAGAAAAGCAATAGCCTTTCTAAAGTGCTTATAGTGTTCAGAAGAGTTGGTTTTAGGGGTGGTCATTGGAAGGATAAATTTGTCTAAGTATAATATTTTACAAAAAAATGACCATGCACCACCCCAGGTAAATTGCTAATTATGCCCAAAATAACTAATATGCCTGGCAGAAATTAAATTTTCTTATTTCCTAAAAAAAAATTATCATGGGGTGAAAAACTATGCTCAATTTTATATAATTATTGTGGATTTCATAAGGATTGTCATTGTCTTCATTAAATATAATACATTTTATTTCACTTACTCCCCACGAAAACACGATTTTTGCCGTCTTGTTTGCTTTTTATCGCCGAATCTGGCAAATATCATCCAGTTTTTGTACTTTTACATAATCATGAATGGCTGAAGAAGAATTCAAAGAAGGTTTCATCAAGTTTGGAAACAGTGGAGTGTATTTTATCTTCGATATTGTGTCCTTCGATATTTCGTGAAATATGGCGCCATTGCAATGGCGCGCCGCTTCTCTGCCCGATAAATGCCACTACTTCGTCTTCCTATGTATTTAGATTACAGTATCCAGAAGTAATTCATTGTAGAATAATCCCAATCGAAAAATTGAAAACATTAGTTGTATTTGGAAGGAGAAAACCTCCCAACACAGTTGTTTTGTCAGAATTCAAAAGAAGTAATTTAAAAGTCACGCGCAAGTTCGTGAAAACTCCTCGTGGGCTACATGACAGGGGGGTGAATATTTTCACGAAAGGTTTGTTCGCCACCACAGAAACCTAACTAAATACACTATATTTATTGAATGTTTATGATTGGTGATAAAAACAATAAATATTTGCGTATTTTTATCATCAGTCATAAACATTCAATAAATATAGTGTATTTAGTTAGGTTTCTCTGGTGGCGAACAAACGTTTCGTGAAAATATTCACCCCCCCTGTCATGTAGCTCATGACTTTTAATTAAATTACTTCTTTTGAATTCTGACAAGACAACTGTATTGGGAGGTTTTCTCCTTCCAAATACAACTAACGTTTTCAATTTTTCGATTGGGATTATTCTACAATGAATTACTTCTGGATACTGTAATCTAAATGCATAGGAAAACGAAGAAGTTGCATTTATCGGGCAGAGAAGCGGCGCGCCATTGCAATGGCGCCATATTTCACGAATTATGGAAGGACACAATATCGAAGATAAAATACACTGCACTGTTTCCAAACTTGATGAAACCTTCTTTGAAATCTTCTTTAGCCATTCATGATTATGTAAAAGTACAACAGCTGGATGATATTTGCCAGATTCGGCGATAAAAAGCAAACAAGACGGCAAAATATGGCCGAAATCGTGTTTTCGTGGGCGGTAAGTGAAATAAAATGTGTTATATTTAATGAAAATAATGACAATCCTTATGAAATCCACAATAATTATATTAAATTGAGCAAAGTTTTTCACCCCATAATAATTTTTTTTAGGAAATAAGAAAATTTAATTTCTGCCAGGCATATTAGTTATTTTGGGCATAATTAGCAATTTACCTGGGGTGGTGCATGGTCATTTTTTTGTAAAATATTATACTTAGACAAATTTATCATTCCAATGACCACCCCTAAAACCAACTCTTCTGAACACTATAAGCACTTTAGAAAGGCTATTGCTTTTCCTTTTCGGAAGTTAGAGCTATGTCGACACTGCCGTTTCAGGGCGGGGTCATTTTCAGAACTTTCGTCCCGGATTCAGATTTTGGCACATATTACCATGTTGACCGCCATGGTCATTTTACCCCAAAACAGTTGAGATTACCTGTCCTAAATGAAACGCATACAAACTCATATACAGGTCCTAGACTACAAGTACAACAAACATTTCGTCATCCATATACAGTATAACAGTAATCTATATATAGTATAGGTGTTTTTTCCTTTTGGTAATAATGCCTGGCTAAGTGAAAAGGCGTTAATTGTATTTCAGCGAGTGGCTGTGGCGTGGTTGTCTAGGGCGTTGCGTGTGTTCGTACATGCTGACATGTCCCTAAGATTGCCTTTAAATAACACCTTTTGTTTAGATTAGGGTTAGAGTTAGGGTCAGGTTTATTTTTTTAAGTGTGGAATTACTAGACAACACAGTTTAATAAGTGTGGAATTATACTAGACAACACAGGGATGTTCATACTACTGTATGGCTGTAAATTGCTATTATTAAATTGCCCTTTTTTCAAAATTCGATAAATTAAATTTTTAGAAATGTTATTTCGCTGTCACTCGAGGCCATTTTTTAGTTCGCGCCAATTCCCATAATTCACGCGCGAATTCGAATTGTGTTAACTACTGCTAAATGTTGAGCTGCTGACATGATCTGATTTGATCGTGGACGGGGTTACAGAACGCCCGGGATAAATTGATTACCTCTTACCCAATCAGCGTTCAGAATTTACAAATGCTATAGGCCCTATTATAAAAAATATATAGCAGCAAAAAGGTATTTTAAGGAGGCAAGGATATCCCGTCCGATTCCGAATTTATTATTAGATAATTGGTTTCCCGAAAAGTACTTATTAATACAATTATTAATACAGGATGTCCCAAAAAATGCAACAACTGTGTTCCAAATTTTTACACAGCTAATAATATACATAAAAATATTACTCGCCTGTGATTGGTTGATTTCAGTGCAGTTAATCCTAAACAGCGGTGCAATTTTCTGTAATCACAGTGCAATTTTCTGTAATCACAGTGCAAAAATCTGTAACAAACTGATCTGATTGGTGGAAAAAACAATGTGATGATAAAATCAACCAGTCAGTTTAAAGCTAGCCTGCGAGCAGGCTCTCTGGGTGAAAGAGAGCCTGCTCGCAGGCTAGTTTAAAGCAAACTAGTTTAGTTTAAAGAAGGAACGATCACACATTGCTTCAAAACAAAACAAACACGGCGCCGCGCTACATAAAGTAAAAGTTGACTTCGGTTGGAAAATATGTCTTTTATCTTTTTTTTTTAAATGGAAAAGCCTTTACCTTTAAACAAGACTAACAAAACGTACATAGTTGAGTGGAATTTTCAAGCTGTTAGCGTTGTATAACGTGATATAACAAAGCCAGGAAAACTTTGCCAGTGTACGGTTTGCTATAAACGCGTAAGTTAAAACTCCTGTCTCGAACATTTTATGTAAATTATTAATAAGTAATAGCATGGTTTTTCGTTAAATTTGGATAGTACTCGTCCTTCGGACTCGTTCAATTTGAAGTCTTTGAAAAACTCACTCGTGCATGTTATATCCTAATTGAACTCGAAACCATGCTATTACCTATACTAATTATTAGTAGGCATCTTAAATGTAATCTAAGAGATGAACTTTGATTGCTGCCGAGCGAAGCGAGGCGGCACACTAATGTCGTCCCAGTCTCCCGGTCGGATGTATATATTGCATTCAGTATCGAGATTTTGTGTCGAGATGTTGGTGAATTTGTGACGTAAAATGACGTAGCAGTTACAAAATGGCATACACAGCGATTTTACGAAAACAATCCGAGTCGGATCTAATAACTCTGTCGGAATTTGAAAACACCGCACGAGCGATGTAATTTGGTGGTCTCCAACTTGAAGGCATGTATATTTAGATCTCCTGTTTAGTGGCCCCCTTTAGTGTTCGATATAGAGGACTAGAGGTATTGCAACAATATGATTCGGTGAATTTATCAGCAGTTTTAATAGCCCATTGATCGTCTTTATATTTATACAAGGAGCCGAAATGAATACTTTCAGTTTATTTTGTTTGTGCGGCGATGTGCCAAGGCGATGAGTTAAATATGTGCTTTGAGATATGGCCATTGTTATTATACGTTACAATATATAGTGTATACTCTATATAGTCTATATGTATGCAGTACACGCATGAGTGCATTGCATATAGTGTATATAGTATGCGCGCTATTTATTCGTTTTGAGCGGACGTCAACTCTTACACAAGAAACCATAAATTATTGTATAATGTTTGTTGTAATTTGCGCGCTATGTATTCGTTTGAATCGTTTCGCATTAGGTTTTTAAGAACGATACAATATTACAAATTATTACATGATGTTTGTTGTAATTTGCGCGCTATGTATTCGTTTTCAATAAGGTTCTTAAAGAACCAGGCAATACGATAAATTATTGTATGTTTGTTGTAATTAATTTGCGTGCTATGTATTTTCTGTATTCGTTTTGATACCAGAACGTTCAGACGTATTGATGAAAATGATATCATGTTTCTCTGTACACCAGAGGTTGTGGGTTAGCCAGATATTGGCATCGAATTTACCGATCGTATTAAAACACTTTACCATGCGTTACATATCGTAATATTGGACAAGTATGAATTATACATACAAAAGCAAGAAATTATAAGCATTGATGGTATTCATATAAAACTACCCACGCCTAGAATTGGCTAGAAAGTAGAATTAGAATATTTAGCTGACCTTTGACTTTGCGCAAGATGTTTGATATTCAAATTACACTTTTCCTACCTGTTGAACAGGCGTCTTAGGGAGTTAGAGGCTGTTCAAATGCTGGCTAACAGAACTGTAGAGAAGATCTTGTATAGTTCAAGAAGATTATCATTGCTGATTGAACCATTCGTTTACAGTTAACTATAATCTATCTCTAGAAAATAATGAAGTTTTTTGCTGAATCGTGCACTGTGACATATTTCAATGCATCGAAATCATCGCGCTTCACATCCCGTCCTGGCAAAGCGGATCGTATAAACCAAACAGCCCCTTATTCATCAAATTGCGTAA